ATCTTTTTAAAAATTTCTTTCTATTTATGCAGTGTCATAAGGCTATGTCCATTATAGATATATTTAAAGAATCTTGTATGAATTTTGAGACAAGAAATATTTTAGTTTCTGACTTGGACCATATTATTTCACTTCTTGGAAGAAAAGATTTCTTCCCCATAATTGTGGGAATTTTTTCTGTAGAAACCAAATGTTAGAAAGAATTAATGATAACATCTGTAAAGACATGAAAACAGTGGAGTGAAATCATTAGTTAAAATCTAATGTTGAGAAATACCTAGCACAGTTGAAAAGAGAGGCTTTATTTCTGTGTCATACCTTGGACAACGTCTATAGAAGAGCTCACTCTGCAAGACAATAGCTGTCTTTCTCTAGGCAAGCACCTATAGATGAAGATACTGATGTTAAAGTCAAGGCAAGTCTCAAACGTGCACCATAGATTCCTTCCTCATTGTTATGGTTTATCACAATAGACTTGTCTTTCATCAGATACCAAGGCAAATGCTCTTTCCTGGTGTCTGTGCTACAGAGCAGTTAGGGCTCACTTTTAGGTTGTGGAGACTGGAGTGAAGACTCCACTGGTATCAATGGTTCTGTTTGTCCCAAACTGTGAATTGGCTAGTGTCCAAGATCCTGCTCTCCTCTGCAGGAGAGGGACTTTTGGCGGTTTTTTTTCATAGCCTTCTCAAAGTTATCCATTGAGAAGTTGGTGGGGCAGGGGCATAATTTTCCATTGTTTTCATCAAGTCTAGAGTCAGTCCAGTTACTCTGAAAAGATGAATCAGCCAGAGGTGAATATAAACTTTTCTCCAAGCCCTCATAAAAAGAGGATCAGGGATATTGATTGAGAAACCTGCCCACCACTGGGAGCATGATAAAGTGTCTTGAGAATGGAGCAAGTAACGATTGAATTACAAGTGATCAAGGACGTGGTCAATACTGTCAAGGCTGCTGGTGGTGGAAACTTTCCCTTGCTCTAATTCCAGATCTGATTGCTGATGTGACCTGTTCGCTATTGAACTGCAAGTCACTGTGCCCGCTGCCAGTTTAATAGAACCTAATGATAACATAATACTATAGTAACAAAAAGGGAAAATACTAATCGCTGGGTAAAATGTGGGAAAAAAAATAGTATAAGTGATGGAGAACACTTCTGGGGACACTTATCTGCATTAAGAACATTCATCATAAAGTAAATGATGTTCATGAGCAGGAACTTGATGCAGAGATGTTGTGGGTGGTGGGGTACATACTAGGACTTACTGCTCACCCACTGTCAGCAGTCTAGTCACTTACGTTGTTTCAGTTTCCTCATCCTGCTTTATTTCCATTACTCATTCGCTTTTGTGCGAAATACTGTTCTACAAAGCAGTCTCCAGTGTAGCACCCTTGATAAAAAAAAAAAAGAAAAAGAAAAGAAATAACAGCAGCAGCAGCGGAGACAGCAGAAGGGAAATGTCTGATGGTTCATTAAATACTAGTTTAGACCACTGAAATATTATCTTCAGCAAAACAGGAATCCTTTCTGTCATTCCGAACACACACAGAAATGAGAGCAAAGATGTCTCACAAAATGCTGTGTTTATCATATTCTGTATATACACACACATGCACGCGGATTGGTATATGTATATTTGCTTGCACATGCACACTTTTCTGGTTATCCATTAATTTTAAAACTTTTCCACAAAGAACTCAAGAAATTGAATATCTGCTTCTGTTTGTGTCTTCAATATCTTTGCAAGCATGAGCATTAATTGTCACTAAAAGTGTATTTTCCGTATTCCATTCAACAGTCTCAAGTTCAGTAGGGAAACAGGTTCTAATAAGCAGTGCAAACATTCACATTTGGAGCAGCTGCATTGATGTCATTTCAGACGGCTGGTGGAAAGCCAGATGTACGGCAGCATCGCTGAAATCAGGATGCATCCCAGTGTTCCCGGAAGAATGGTTGTGCTTAGTTATTCTGGGCTAGCTATTTGTTACAGAGATTGCTTTGTGTGTCTATCACATCCTTATTAGTTCCTTGAGTGCCTGACAAGACAGATGGGGAAGACTTCATGAAGTCATTGAATGCCTTGTAGGTGTTAGCAGTGACCTTTCCTGCTAGGGCAGGATAAATGAGACAGCCGAGGGGCCTTTATAGCAATTTCAAATACTCACCTACCAGCATGATTTTAGTGTGCGTGTGTCTGAATTTTAGGTGATTTTTATAGAACCTCATAACTTCTCAGTGTGACGTGAGTAGTTGCAGGGAGGGGAGAGGGCAGTGGGAAGCTTTTAGTCTGCTGCTTTCTTGGCTGGTTTGTTAAGGAAACAGATCTCAGCTCTGCCATAAACGCTGATGTTCTGCACATTGAGGGTCACAGCTCTGGGACTCATGTAGACATCTGATTAGGGGGTCACTATCCCCATGTCTGATAGAAAATCATGTGCAGGGTCATCCCTTTTATGCCCCTCAAGGCTGGGCTGTCTGGTAGCATCTCCTCCTGGCAGCTGCTAGGAGGAAAAGCCTTGCGGCCCAAGGTGCACACAGGGCAAGTGCTTTTCATACTAAACCTTCAGGATGGGCTTTTTTCATAGACATGTTAATTATTTTTCCAGTATTATTTTTCCGTCACACTCAGTTGGCAAACTGGGCATTTTGGAACATGAGGTATTTGAGCAGCTTTTAGCCATTGCTAAAAAGCAGGTAGAAACGTATGCAAAACCATGAGCTGAGTAAGAGAATTTTGCTCAATTTAAGAATGCCTGAACTCCCTACGTGTTGTTTTTGTGGCTGCCTTTGACAGGCATTAGTGTCTTCTTGCTTCTCTGTAAAACACAGGCCAAGAAAAGCCAAGTTCCAGCTATCTTTAGCAGGAAGCTTTCACAAAGGTTCAATTTAAATACACTGAAATATTACTTGTAAGTTTGAGGAGGTCTGCTTTTCAGGTGCACTTATATCAGAATTTGAAAAGATGCTAAAATCATGTTATTTTGCCTATTGAACTTTTTTTCCTCCTCAGGTACATATGGAGGAGGTACACTATTTTCCTCAAAATTTTGATCACATAAAGGTTCCTATCACAGAATACTTCACCAGAAAAAAAAATCTAAATTGCTAAATTCTAATAATCTAGGATAAGAGCATCTTTTTCTAATTTAATACTTTTAGAATTCTGTTATTAGCATTAAATGATACCAATTTTTAAGAAATAAAGAACACTAAGTTCAGGTTACTGTTCCTTAAAATGTAGAATATATATCAGTAAAGATGATGAAAAAGTAAAATAGTATCTGGCCTCTCTCGCTTTCTGGTCACTACTCATAGAGCTGAATGAGAAATAGGTACTTGTAAAAGCAAATAGTGAAACAAAGTAACATTGATTTCCACTTCCATCCTATGAAATTATTGATCTGTTTTTAATCTAATTGGCACTCGTGAAAATAAATGGAAAAAAAAACAGTAGGCTATTTATGGGGTTCAAGTATTTGTTCTGGATAAGAGAGTCCTAGGCTTCCTTGTTCAGGACTGATTTGTCTCTCCTAAGAAGCTAAAGATCTGTGTGCCTTGGCGTACTGTACTTGCTTTGTTCTCATTCGCTTTAATCTCGTGTATCTAATTATTTCTTGTAATTCAAAGGAATAACAGTGCCATAAGATGCCTTTGTGTATTGGTTTACAATTGCTGAGCACATACTGACATACTGCAGTTTTTTCACTAAAAGTTTTATCTAGCGTATAAATGAACAACTAATTACAGGAAAGTTGTGATAAAAGAGGTTTTCCAAGTAAACCCACTGGAGTTTGTGTGAAGCAAAGGAACATTATTTCTGCTCTATTCTACTGAGTAGACCAGCCGACATGTTAAAGTAGTTTTAAAATCCTAAACGTTTGTTGTTAAAGACACCTTTAATTAGTTACACTTCTCCATACTACAAAAATTACAGTATACAATCCAGAGGGTCTCTGTTTCCTCAGTTTCGACTCTGCAGATATGTTGTTTGGGGAAAATAATACAGTTGTGTAGGCCCCTAATTCACAGTCATAAGTATTTGCAGATTGGGGAATTAATTAAATTTAGATCTGAGCTTTATATCACTTCCTTATAGGCAAAGCAGCATTGGAGATGCTCCATGTTAATTCAGTGACGATATTTGTGTCTAGTTTGGGATCAATCTCCAGTCTGTTTAGTTTGGATGTTGAGTGTGATGTTGGAAGGGACCTTGGGTGAAATTTTGTTGCAAGCAGAGCCGTCCCAAAGCCTATGCAAGAACCACCAGGCTCAGGTTTGCTGATAACAAATTACAGGTCAGGAACTCTGAGAGACAAGATTTAGAGTTAAAAAGGGGAGGATGGGATGTATAATACTTCATGCTTTTCCTTGCTTTTTGAAATAATTTAATTTTCTTTTAAGTTGAATTAAAATTTAAAAAAAAATCAGGCTACAAATGATAGCCCTTTCCTTTTGGGGGCTATCCAATAATTCATAGCCAGCATCTTTGTAAACTAGTATCTCAGAGGGCTGCTGCAGGTTGCTTTCCCTCTTCTGTGGCTGCCATTTGGTAGCTCCTGTACATAGGGAGATTCCACGTGTTTGCCTGTGCCAAAAAAAAAAAAGTGTTTTAAATGGTGTTGCCAAAAAAAACAAATCTAGCTGACTGATTTTAAAGCTGGGTATATCTGCGCTCCTTTGAGATAAGATTTGGACCTTGGGATAAGATTTGAACCTGGTCCTTTCAGCCATCTGCTAGAAATTGTGCTATGGGAGATGTGTGTGTGTGTATTATATTGGGCGCTCTATCAGTGTGCATATAGGAAAAAGAGAAGGAAGGGGGAAGTAGATTGCAGCACAGCCACGTTTGATTAAGAATTCTTGTGTTTGTTCGTGGCAACCAGCTAGGAGCACTGATTTTGCATTTTTAAAAGCTATAGCTACAAGCAAGGTGTTTCACATATTGCTTCTCTGTGCTAACTTATTGCTGTTGTTTTCCCTGTCTACTCTTGTAACAAAACAGAAGTACTCTGCTGTCTCTCTCTGCAACATATCTACAGAGGTCCTGAAAGTCATCAATGCCACCGAGGAACTGATAGCAGAGTCCACAGGTCCCTGCGACTTCCCAGCTGACCTCCACGACAGAGGGAGGGGGACATTCCCATTAGGGACTGACCCCACCAGACTCGATGAGCAGCTCACCACACTGGAAGAAAACGTAAGAATGTGACTCAGGACGTGAAATTGTTGAGTGTATGTGTGTGTGCTTGAGATGACTGAAACTGGAGAGTGTTTAGGCAGCATCTGTGGATGTTCAGAATTAAGTTTGGGTCATTTGAATGAAACAAATACGTAAACAGAGCAAGAAATGTTTTTTTTAAATGGATGCTTGGCCCTTTTCTTTAGTTGTGTACTTTAAAACATTCAGGGGAAGGAGGAGTTGGGTATGCTTTGTTTCATAGGAAATTTTAATCTCTATCTTAAAAATTAACGTAATCCCCTAGATTTTTGCAGCTGCAGCATGCCTTGTTGAAGCTACACATCTCCAAGTCCCCGTACAGCCTTACTATGTAAGGACAGGCAGAGCAAGCAGGTCTGGAGTCACTTGGGTCCCAAACAGCGGAGCGATTCCTGCCCCGCGCTTGCCCCATGTACTGCGCTGGGCATCCCGGGGCCCGGAGCGCTCTGCTGGCCTCTTGAAAGGGGCAGCCCAGAGAAGCAGAATTGAACCAGCATTTGTTTGGCCACATTCAGCTCTCCCATCCTTTCACATGAGGACCTGTCATCTGAAGGGAATCTCTAATACTGAATCACTAAGAGAAGGCACTGTTCCCCAGGAGTTTTTATGCGACCAGTTAATGGAGTCAATATCCTTGTAACTTTCCATTTTCTCCTCTTCTCGCATTTTACTGATTGTATTTCGATATTTTCCCTTCAGTAGGAGCTTTTAAAGATCTCATAGGAATCCAGGCTGTCCCATTATAACATCCCGATCAATTCAAGAAAATAGATCACATTTTCCTTTAGCTCCAAGAAAATCTTCAGAACCAGAATCTCTTCTTCCGGGCAAAAACCTGTTTCCTTCCCAGAAATCCCGTCCCACAGCAGCCTCAGGCTAGGGACCTCTTGGGAGCTGCCTTGTGCCGACTGTTTTGTTGTTCTTGTGGCAGATGCAGTTTGCTCACACCTCCATGCATGCAGAGCAGAAATCACCGCCCCCTCTCCCTGCCCTGACCCTGCAGGTGTACTTGACAGCCAGCACCGTGTACGGCCTGGAGGGGCAGCTGAGCAGCCTGGAGGACGCGGCTCGCAAGATCAACAGTGTTACTGCAGAATCGGAGCTGGCCGAGCTGGAAGATCAGGTGGCCACCGCAGCCGCCCAGGTTCATCACGCAGAGCTTCAGGTGAGGACCTACTGCCTCCCCTCTTGCAGGTGTCACACGGTCTTGCCTAGTGCATGGGTTTCGTCTGTGCACACTTATTTTCACTGTTCTTTTGGGCTGCAGTGAGCTGAAAATTCAAGGATATGTGATTGCCTAACAGGAATGAGCAAAGCTTAACTGCGCTGTGTAACTCAGCACAGCCCTATGTACTGTATTTGCTTGTTTCTTCCCCAACCTTCATCCCCAAGATGTGAGAATGAAACAGTCTACTCAATTCTTATGCTGTAATCCTAAAGCTCTCTCTGCTCCTTGCTCCCTTGGTGTGCTCTGTGTCACAGGTGTGGCTGTTGTTAGATACCACAACAAATAACAGCAGTTCTAATCAGGAGATTTTAGAGCACTCTATCAAAGAAGCCAATGTGGGTGTCAATGTTCCATGGATAAAGGCCAAGGCCAGCGAATCTCTGAGCCAAACACAGAGCTAGCACTTCCCAGGCTCCCTGGGAATTTAGCTGCTAAGGGGTTTGTGTCCTGGCCAGAAGGACACTGCTCATGTGGGCACTGGATTGCACAGCTTCTCACTCGTGAGCTCCAGGAAGTCCGAGGAGATCTGCATGATGTGGTGCACAAAGATGGAAGAGGCAACACTGCCAGACCTCACAGTCATACCGACCTCCCCACACTGCTTTTCCTTGCACCCAAGTAACTTCCCTGACCAGTTTGAAGCAAGCGGGGTGCTCTGACATGCTTGTGCCAGGCTTTTTTTAAGATGAAAGTACCTGTTTGTCTTAGTGCAAGCATGCTCGGTTTAGGACTGAGCGAAGATCTCAGGATGTCGCCTGATGCATTGCAAGACTATAAGCCATGTCAAACTGGCAATGAGATCTTACAGGTTTTAGTTAGTATTTTATGGCACGTATGTAAATCGGGTATGGAGGAGGACTGGGATATAAGAGGAAGGAGACAGAGGAGGTAGCACGCAGCTGAGCAGGCTGAAGCCTTTTCGTGCGGCTTCAGATGGCACCATAAATTAGGAGTCAAGTTAATTTTGCAGGTAAAGTCTCTGTCTTTTCTGACTCTGCTTTCATTTTGGCAACATTTGTTTCCACTGATGTCAGCATCAGCTTGATTTCTCCCAGAATGCTTATTTAGTTGCTCCTTTGTTTTTCCTAGCAATTGTTTTTTCTTGAGTGTTTCTATATACCGTGCATGCATTTGTGCATGTTTCTGCTTATTTACATATATATCTAAATTATAGCATAATTTAGATATTTGAATTTGTGATAGAGAATCTATTTGTATTTTTAGAAAACTTTGAAATAATTTGGAATTAGCAAATGTATCACTAAGTGGTATGGTTGAGTGTAGGTTTTGAAAAACACTACTTGAATTAACTTGGAATTGCATAGCTAAAAGTATTTGGGAGATGGCAACTTGGGTTCTTTCTTTCCTCCTTTCTTTTTTTTTCCTCAAAAGGAGTAAAGTGCTTCTTCCTTGTAGTCACAGAGTAGGTTAGATTGTTCTTTTACTCTGTCTGATTGGTGATCGTCTTTACTAATGAATTAAATCCTTTTGACATCGGGACTAAAGAATGCAGGAAAGCAAAGTGTCAGAGGTGCTGAGGAAAACAGCCATCTGTTTATATTTTTTTATTAAAAAGGATTTGAGTGGGGAAGGGATATATTTTAGTGATGGCATCTATAGTAATTTTAAAACTTCTTCTCCCCCCTCCCCATCTGTCTGTCTCTCTCTTATTTTCTTTGAAGATTTCAGATATTGAGAGCAGAATATCAGCTCTCACTGTTGCAGGCTTGAACGTGGCTCCATGTGTTCGCCTGACAAGGAAACGGGATCAAAAGCAAACAAACCAGGTGCCAGAACATTATGTAGTATTCAAAAATACATTGGGGAAATCTTACCTCGTTTTCTGTAATGGAGTTGAGTAATGTGTATGTGTTGTTTACAGATGCATACAATAGACACATCAAGACAGCAGAGGAGAAAACTTCCAGCTCCACCAATAAAAGGTGCACTAATATTGTTAAGTACACTATTTTCACAGTCTTTCTTTAAGTGGGAGGGGAAGGACTGAGCTATTAAATGAACAGAGCAAGCCAAAATGTACCCATTGTAGGCACAGGACAATTTCCCATTGTTCTCGTGTAAAATAGAATATACATATGACAGGTTACTAAGAGCTGAAGCAGAAGGCTGGGAAAGAGCAACAAGAAATGCTGAATACTTGTCCTGTGAAAGTGAAGCTGATGCTCTGGGGTTAGATTGTGAGACCCAAGCAGTTGTACTGGGTTAATTACCAACAGCCAGTTGCTGCTCTCTACAACCCATAAGAACATGCCCATTGAATTCAGTCTGTATTATTTGGTTCTGCATTGTTCCTGGTATTTAAGGGTATGTCTCTGAGGTGGTTTTATAATACACAGTGCTCTTTTCTTTAATCTTTTACTCTGTTTTCACCCTGCAATCCCTTCTCTCTGGCAGTACTAGAGCCTGATTCACCTTGTATTGCTCTAGTTTTACTCTTGTGTAACTACTGATTGGCATGGCCTCAAATTAAATAAATGGGGAGTATCACAGCCTGCTGTTTTTCATTTAAATTAAATCCAGTTTTCCCCAGATGTTAGGGGGAGTCTAAGGCCTCTAGAAACCATGACTCTTCACGAGTATCATTATATTTTCTTCAATCTGTGATTTGAAAAAAACTCTTTTTCTGTATTTTCCAGGTGAAAAAATAGATGGCTCTCCAGTTACCACTGTTAGAACATTTAACAGAAACTTCATGCTCCAAGGATCTTTAACACAAAGAGCTAAAGAGAGGAAAAGCACTGCCAAGGACTTAATGGTAAAATCATAACAAATGTTTTAAAATTTCCATTAAAAACAGCATGTAGAGATATAGCAGTATTTGTGTAGGCAGGGACATTTCATCATCTTCACAAGACTTCTCCTAATGCTTTTAGGAAAAAGAATAGAGCCCATTGAGCCATCTCTGAACAAATATGACCAGTGTCCCAGAAGTTGGTCTGGCTAGCGTAGTAGCATTATGTTCCTGAAGTTGTTTGTATGCTCTGTCAGTCTGACCTCTACTTTATGAATGTATCCTAGCAGCCAGATTCCCAGAAATGTATTTCCCTTATGTAAAAAAAAATAATAATTAAGAATTAATAGTTTCCTGCAATTCCAACTTCTGACCAAGGCTCTTGCAGTACCAACTGCACAGTATAAACTGGGCAGCTGAGACCTACCTTGAATCTCACTAGTTTTTCAGAAGTGTTCAAAGGAAGCCTAGGTAGGATTTAAGGATTAGATAGGCTATACATTGTCTCTGCACGGTTTATACAGATAGGTTTTGCCACATAACTGTGAATCATTTCTTCTAGAGAAGCTGTAGAGACACATGTAAAAAAACTGAATCTCTCAAAGCATTCTGCTGCTGGATGTATGGTGAGGGAGAGAGAGGACCTAGCTCTCTGGAGCTCTGGGAGGTTTGCACTTGTTTTGCTCATTTTTTCTCCTGTTCCTCTCCATTCTAGGAACCTGCTATAGGATCTGCTGTGATGTACTGAACTTCTACATCTCTACTGCCAATAACACACTGCCTAAGGCTGTACACTAGAGTGCCTTTACTTAACAGCCATTGTGTATGTCCAATTGAAAATGGGCTCTCAAGAACCCACAATGCCTCAGTTATAGGGCTTCATTTGGATACCTCACTGAGAAAGCTGTCCAAGTCTTCAGCATTGTGGTCTGCTAATGGAAACTCTGCCTTAAAGTTCTCACAAGACTCTAGAAAGGATGCTGAGTTTCAAAAGCAAGGCTCCACATTTTAAGATGCACTTTTTCTCCCCATTGATTGTGTTAAGTATGTCGTCTTTGAAATGCGGTATGTTTTTGTACACTTAGTCAGTCATAATTATAGGCCAATATTTCATACAAAAAGAAAGAACAAAGCAGACCCGTGATCCATATTTGCTGGCGTCTTACTATCCACATAGGCATCTGTCTTGTCGAGCAATAAGAACAACTCTGTGCAGTGAGAGCTGCTTTTCAGCTGCTTGCTGGGAGTGGAGAACCAATGTACCTAGCTCTGCTCCCCTGGAGTCAGGGGAAGGTTTGAGGAGGTTTGCAGGGTGAGGTTTGCAACAGGCAAAGGCTTCTCTGAGCACTGAGTGTGCATCTGGCAGAGATGCGATTCCAGCTCCCGAGCTAGCTATTGGCAGCTAGTGTGGGACCAGCGCTCTGGAGTTTTAATCCTGGCATCTGGGCACATCCAAACACTGCTGCAAAGCTAACACTTCTGTATGTCCTGCTATTTTTGGTAGCATCGTCCCTTAGCAGTCTCCAGCTACACTGTAGCTCAGAATAGTCTGACCAAATCTTTAAGGCTGGAAAAAGTGAAAGGATTGTAGATTAGACCTCTGCAGACCCACTGGTTGTTGTAGCATGGGTGCAACCTAGAGAAGATTCCCTTCTTCTGTTCCTTGTCTTTTCTGAGGAAAAGACAAATTTGGGCAAATGCAGCCTGGATATATTTTTCCTCTGCTCCTCTGTAGCCAACAGAGAGTAGCTGGGGCTTGTCACTGTGACTTTCTGTGACTGGGCCAGTGAGAGTTGGATTATGATTAATAACATTTCTTTTTCTTTTCAATTCTGAGCGATTTGAAAGGTGAGCCAGACTCTGGAGAGCTCTTGGAAAGGCCCTGTTGTAGGATTTCCCCCCTTTTCCTCTTCGGGGATGATCTTGCTACTTTGTGGTACTTACTGCTCTGAGGAATGTAAAGGAGGAAGGTAGAGGAGATGATAGGCCAGTGTATCCCGTGTCTTATAAACCAAATGCAGACTGGGCTGATGTGAATGTGCTGTGAAGGAGGATATGAGCTGACAAATTCCCCCATCAGCATCAGCTCTAGGTCCAACTATCTCTTGAGCGAGATGTCTCTGTCCTTTGCCTGTGCTACCTAGAGAGCCCTGAGGATGCATCTGTTTAAGCTTATGTTGTTTTTCTCAGGACCATTACTAAATTATACAGTGATTTCAAGACATGAAACACTGAAAAATTTCTGACTGACTCCAAGCAGTTTAGTCCAAATTTTCAGTCCAACTGGGAGAAGAGAGCAACCTGATTTTCAGAATTGCTGATGAGCCGTCCTGGGGGTAGAGGGGCACCAGGGGATGAGGAGAGCCAACCCCCGTGCTCCCTCTGAACATCCCACAGGAGATTTTTGTTCTCTATCACATGGCAGGGAAGCAGTCCCTGCCTTGCCCCACAACCGTGGCACCGCTACATGCAGCCCTGCGGCACTCGGCAAGTCTGGAAGCAGGGCCATGAAGTGCCCGGGCCTGGGCAGACTTCTTCGTGGTTTGGGCCTGTAGAGAAGAGATGTGGGGAAAAATCTGGCAGATTTCCTGCCTAAGTTGGCTTTGGTGAGGCAGGAAGTGATCAGATGGATGGAACAAATGGAAAATGTATTACAAATTTATCAGCCACATTTGAATTTTAGCTTCTTGCTGCATTGGTGTCCAATTGTATGTAAGGAACTATTAGAATAAATACAGCCATCTTCCCCGCTCAAAAGCACTGCTCTATCTCATCAATCAATTTCAATCTGCCGATAATGTGACCCAGTGTATTTGTTCTGGGTGAAATTATGCCTTCTCCAACTCCCATGCCACATTAGTTCTCTTGACTTGGTTTGCACAGATGTGAGGGCAGGTTTCAGCCCACTCTGTTTAACATATGTATGCGTATAAAAATAGATTTTATTTATATATGCAATCCAGCAAAGGAGATTAAACAGAGTAGGATGCCTAGTAATTTTTTGCTATTCAGTCTCCTCCTCCCTTGACTGTTCTCGTATATGTATACAATACATTCCCAGGTTTTGGTTTATGCAGGTATGCGTGTTATGAAATGTCATTAATGGTGGTTGGTCTACATATTCGTCTAATAATATTAACTAATATTGTGTATGTAATATCAATACAGAAATGACTAATTTTAATAGAATAACTCTTTGGCTTTTGTTCTGTTAGTGTGATTTAAAAAAAATTTGGAATAGGATGTTTTCCATAAGAGGCATGAAAAGCAACTATTATTGTGTTACAATGTTCAAATACTCAGTCTTTGACAGAAAAATGTGTACTGTGTAGGCATTGCAAAAAAAAAAGAAAAAAGAAAAAAAAATCCCACCTGCTGTAAGGCATTTGAATTTTTACAAATGTTTATTGTGCCAAATACGTGCGAAGATATAATTTACTGTTTTAAAAAATCATAAAAGCATATGTTATAGCACACAAATAATTATTTTGTCATCAAGTGATTTCAATCTTTAGTGTTAATATTTATATTTAGATTAATTTTTATAAATGAAAATATTTTAATGGGTAAAATGAAGACTATATGATCTATTTGATTAAGTCTGACTGAATATTAAGCTTGCCTTGTTGTTGTTATCTGCATACTCACCAAGAATTATTGTCAAGAGAAATTATAAGAGAGTAAAGCAATTTATGGAAAAGAATGCCTTTTCAAGGACTTGATTCATAAAGAAAAAACAAAAGTTATTCTCTGCTGTTTGGATTTGTGTGCACTTTAGCCAGGGAACATGTAGAACCTGTTGCCACGTGTGGCCTGCCCAAAAATGATGCTCCCCAATAAAGGTAGGAGACTCGGCTGCCTGCAGAGCGATCTGGGCTAACTGAGGGGAGGAATATACCCAAACACATTCAGTCCGAGCCCATGGGGGTTGGCATGGGAGGGCTTCTGTTAAGAACATGTGGTGGTCACTCTTCGCCAAACCTTTACGTCTCTTGGGCTAAATACAGCCTCTGTTGAACAAAACTTCTGTAACTGTCACTGGTGTTGCAAAGTGATGACCTGAGTAAGAACTCACCTACCTTAACTCACTGGGAGGAGGGCCGTGCAGCAGCAACGCCAGCGTTGTGCTCTCTACATTGACTCTGGCTTCTCACTTTCTGCTATACCTTTTCCCATTTTTAAGTTAGGATTACCATCAAAATTGTTTTAGTGTGTCCATTTTCTTGGTGTGGAGATGGATTACTTAAATCAGGTGATGGTTTAAATGGAAGATGAGGTGTTCAAAATGAAAATATTATTAAAACCTACTTTTTTATATTGGGTTTGTATATGGTTGAAGCAAAGATTTCTTCATCCTCCCTCCCTCCCTCCCTCCCTCCCTTCCTTCCTTCCTTCCTTCCTCCCTCCCTCCCTTCCTCCATCCTTCCCTCCTTCCCTGCTTCCCTCCTTCCCTCCCTCCCTCTGTATAATGCTCATTGATCCTGCGATATTTATTAATGTTCAAAGAACTCCAAATTACTTCCACGTCTTCAGCTGACCTGATACTTTAGAAAGATAACTGGAGTAACACAGAAGCTGCATTGACAGTGATGACTGATTCATGCAAGCAATATGGCTAATAATTGGGACTATCCATGGATACGTTTAAAACTAGAGAAGTCCTAGTTCATCATTTTAAACTACCCAGAAATACAGAAAATGTAACAGCAGCAATTTCATGTGATGCAGATAGTGAATGATAATGGAATGGCCTGCAAAAAAAGAACTAGTGTTTCAAATCACTTCTCCCAAGCTTTTTATCAAAAGAATCAAGCCTGTATTATAAGTAATAGTAACTTATTATAATAAAAATCCACTCACTGATAATAGAACATTCACAAATAGAAAAAAAAAACAAAAAGATTAAATTATCCACCATGATTAATTCAACTGCCCTAAATTTTAGCAGTAGTAATCCCAGCAATACACAGCTAGAAATCCAAGTTAGTTCTAATCTGTTTTCTGCAGTATAATTCATGTCTTAGCATTAAATGTCATTCATTAGCTAAATCATAAGCAATCTCTTTTGGATATAAGCCACATATTAAACTGCATTCAAATAGTCTAGGTGGTAACAATTATTAATAAAGACTGTAAATAACACTTCTTATAAAATAACAAAATTAATCAGCTAAGCAAACATGGACATTAAGTCACAGTCCCAGGCTCATTGATGTGGACTGCTAAGGACAGTACATTGATCGTGATCCTCAGAAAGCAACTTTAGCCTGACTGGATAAGGTGGTTAAAGGGAATTTTTAAAGGGAATGGGGTAGTTTAGACCCTTAGCCCTTTTGGATGGCAGTGTGTGATTAGTTGCAGTAGGTACAAAACTACTGTGTAGAGTATGACTGGCCAGTGGCTTTCTAAACTGTCTGCCCTTGAGCAGGAGAAAATACTTATCTTTGATAGAAACTCCTTTCTGTTTATTAACGTCCTCCTCCTGGGCTACCTTCCTGTGAGTGGGTATTAACAGTCTCTAGGAAAATTATGCACAGAGCACCAGCATTTCAGGCTTTTAAAAATGCACATACCCAAAAAAATCAGTGAGAGTCTTCTCTCTTTCTTCCAGCCATTGCTTTTTATTTTTAAATACCACTATTATAAATAACCACTATTAGCTTTGAAACACGACATGGAGGTTTCATGATACTCTTTACAATGCAGAGTTTAAATCCCAGCACAAAAGCTGTCTGGTTCTTGGAAAAGCTAACGTTACAGTGCACAGCATCATTAGGGCTTGGGGAAAGCATTGGGAGGGATGCAAGAGGATAAAACATTTTTGTAAGTGATGTTTGCCCTCAGTGTTGGTGTTGGTGCATTGTCTTTTATCCCGAATGTGTTTCTTTCTTTTTGAAGGTGTTTGCACAGGAAGCATGGGATTGCTAGGCAAGAGCAGAACTAGAGGTATAGGACGCAGGAGAGGGTGCAATTCAGAAAGAGGAACAGGTCACTGCCTGCGGAAGGAGGGATCACCAGGTGTCCAACACTTTCTGTTCCCACAGTGCATTCAGGATGAAATCCAGGTGTCTGCTCACAGGCCTTGAGCTGCCGCGGCTGCTTCTCAGCTGCCTCTTCCCAAAGCGACCGATGGGCCGAACGCCGCGTCCCACGTACCAAAACGGATCAATCTTGGGACCTGCAATTCAAAGGGTTCAGTGAAACATCTATTCCTGCACTTGAGGGCGGTATTTATTGAAAATCTGAGGATGTCCAACAGGGCTCATTCATAGCCCACAAGGAAAAAAAACAAGGCTGAAGTTTGCAGGACACAACATTTTTGTGCCTTTGAGGGATGCTTGCCATTTATAGAGCCCAAAGAAAAATAATTCAGATGCAAAATTAATTTTCAGCTCTCTGGGCCACAACCTGCAATTCCAACATAACCAAAGACCCTGCCAGGGTGCAGCATGCTTGAGCAGTGGCAGTACAGGGAGTAAAACTGAAATTCCTGCTATCCAGCTTCCATTTCTACCGCATACACCAGACACATTACCTCTGAATTCAGTGGATTACAGAGTGGGTACCTGTGTGAGAGGGATATTTCTTTTCCTTTTGGTACCTCAGAAAGGTGGTTCTCCAGTTCTGCCCTTTTCAAAAGAGGAGACGCATGCCATAGAGAGCCTGTGCACCTAACTCCCAACACTCACCTCTTTCCCACGCCACATCTACCAGCCATTCCTGACCACTAACCGCTCATGGTCTGAACCATGATCTCTGCAGAATGAATGCAAGCTACTGGTGCTTGCTTTTCTGAACCTCCTTAGAAGCAGTTTGAGAACCACTACAGGTTTGCAGAACACAGCTTAAAATCAGCTGCTTAAATATTGAATGTATATGGGTTTCACTTTTTTTTTGGAGGGCGGGGAGGGAGGTGGCTTCTTTTTTGCCTTCTCCATTTTAGTACTTTCTCATGTAATTATCAAAAATTGCACTATCTCTTTTGGCTCATTTAAAAGGCTGTGAGATGGAGATTAAAGTCTGCATATGGCACAAGAAACTTATGTAAGTTTAAGTTGAAGAATATGACCCCACACCACCTTTTTAGCGTAGACAGGTCCACAGGGATTTGCTGCAGGCAGGCGAGGTCGCCCTGCGGGAGTCCGCCACGTCGTAGCGGGGGAGCCTCATACTTACTTCTGTTGTCTATCTGGTGTTTAAATGGCCTGCTCTGTCCTGAAGCGAAGCTGAGCGACACCAAGAGCACCAGCATGTAGACGGTGACCAGCCTGAAGCGCTTCGGCGACCACTGGGCGCGCGGTGTCCACGAGCTCGCAGGCCACATGGTGCAGCCGTGGAGGAAGGCTGGGAGGAGAGAGGTGAGCACAGATGATTTAAAGCTCTCAGCAAAGGAACATGTCAGCTCTAAGAACATATTAATGTCAAAGCCATTTCACTCCTAAATCCTGCAGCGCTGGTGCCTGGGATGTCCTGGGTACATCTGTGTCAACGCAAAGGCAGGCAGTGAGCCGCCTACTGAGGTACATCACAACTTCAGCTTATTCTCATCATCAGTGAAAACCCATGACATGACTCTGCAGGACACATACTGGTCCTGAAGATGCCACTGCCTTTCTCTGCAGCTTTTAGCAGGTCACTCAGTCACTGATCCCACCCCACGATGTTGTGGGAATTAATCTGGGCACGCAGAGCTCAGACACTGCACAGCACTCAGTGTGGCTGTCTGCATTCACCATCAGTGCGTATTTTAGCCATTAGCTCTGTCTCTTTCTTCAATCGTAAAATATATTTAACATCTGCATTTTACACAAGCTCTTTACAACTAAATGCACTTGAAAGGACTGCTGAAAAGGCGAGTTGTTCCCATGGCAGTTCTCACTTCCGCAGCCAGTGCACAAAAGCACATTTTCCAGTTATGGCTTCCACTAGATGTCCCAGGCCTGCAGAAGGCTCCCTGCGGCGACAAACCCCACCTGAGAGAGGAGCTGTGACTTCTTGGACGAGCCTTCCTCTGGCCCGTGCCCCTAGCTTTACCCCTGGGACAGCCCGCCCCACAGCGTGGGCACGGCCTGGTGACACATTCGGCAGCCTGAAGGCCCTGGCAGTGGGTAGGAGTCTTGGTTGCGGCAGGCCGCAATTTTCCCCGCTGCTGCCTGGGCTCTGCACGGCTACAGCTTCAGGCAGCCTCCAGCACAGGCACCTCCTGCTTTGGGGCGCTTCCCAGCACAGCGAACACACAGGGGAAACCTGCTGGGGTCTTAATCATGTAAACCAAAAACTTCTTGACGCCTACAATTTAGTGAGGATGTTTTTTCTTTGTTTTCTTTCCACACTGGCAGTGGCTTAGCAGGCAGCTTAGAGAAAAGTGACTTTACCTGGTAATTTTAACAGAACAGTGAATTAACTTCTCCCAGCTCCTTAACTATCTCACAACAAGCAGGCCTGAATGATCTCAGGAATACATTCTGTCTTCAGTTCAAACTGGGGCTCATACCTTGTCATTCCACATCTAGCAAAGCCTTAAATTCAGTGAGTGGTGGTGTTGTGTGGAGCCTCCTCTCAGGGCTTACACAGCTGCAGACAGGTTCTCGTTTTGTATCTAACTTTCCTAGGAACTGAGTGGCAGAAAGGAAGAGCTTGGAGCCTGGAGTTCACTGTTGATAAAAACAGAGGGAAAAGCCTGTGGTACAAGTGTTGTCCCAAGCAGTGCCGTGTCTTGGTCTCCCCTGCCTTGTCCTGTGCCTGATTCAGGCCACTTTGAAGAGCACTGTTATTTATTAAACTTTTTGTTCTGACCCTTGAGCTGGCTAAGACTTCTAGGAAGCAAACAGCTCCCGCTGCTCCTCAGTAAGTAACTGGCCATCCCTCAGAGCCGGGGGGCTCAGCACCTCCTGTTCTCCCTGACTTTTCCCTCTTCCGCCTTCCTAACTAACTTGTGCCTGTGTGGGGAGAAACTGAGGCACAGTGAACGCTGCAACACCCGTCAACCCCTCACGATGCTGAGCTCCTCAGCTCACCCTGTCGCAAGGACCGAGCTCACCTCAGTCCTGAACCACCTGCTGCCCACAGCTTTTTTCCTAAGAGAAAACTCAGAAAACAGGAGTCAAACGATCACTCTGCCTGACAACTGTTTCCAACTTTCCCATTGAATAATCACCAGAAACTTCAAAAGCTTACTGGTTTCAACAAAACTTGACAGAATTTATATTTTCAGGAACAATTCTGTTCCCCAAGCTCTGCAAGAAGCCAGCACTTCTGCCCCTCCCTTTCCACTCACTCCCAAACTGGAAAGCACCTTTAAACAGCAGTGGGGGAAGCCCTTGCTGGAAACCTCCATGAAAGATCAGCTCCAGGCCCAATGCAGCCTGCACCCAGGCCTCGTAAGGGGCTGAGCACCGCAAGAGGCACCACTGCCACCATGTCATGAGCTCCTGCATGCATGCTGGCTGCAGAGGTAGGAATCTGCCCGCGGGGTCTGACCCGATCCCTTGGCACCTCGCTTGCCATCACTGCAAAGGCTGCACATGGAGAAAAGCAAAAAGCTAAAGCTGAAAAGGGAGAAAAAAAAACAAATTAAATAAGGAAAGAAGCAAAAAAGAGCAAGGCTGAAATCAGAAGCAGCTAGTGGGAGTCACTCACCTGTTTGCACCAAGGCTGCTCCTCAGGTAGCCGCTGCTCCCTGCAGAGCCAGGGCCGATGCCAGGGTCTAGTGCCTTTTATAGCCAAGGGAAGTGGGATTGAAGGGGGGGAGCCGAGAGGTGGGCCAGGAGAACGTCAGCAAAGCTACTGAGCAAATTTAAATTGGAAAGTAGAGAGGCAGGAGATGAGACCTGTAGCTTTGCTGAAGAGCCACTGATGAGGACAGGGTGCAAGAGCTGAAGGCGGCGCAGGGGGATTGCACAAGGACACTAGCAGGACCCCTGGCTGGGCTCCCCCATAGACCAGAGTGGAGGGGGTCACTGCAGCATCCTTGTGCACCAGGGTGCAGGCTGGAGCAGCAGTGACTGCGACACTCCCATGTGCGCACGATTTCTGCATTGCCCGGCTGAGATGCCCTATCTCAAGTGCATACCTGTGGAGCGGGGGGAAGCGCACAGCACGAGTGACATTGTGTCAAGAGAGAGATGAGATGGTCGACGGGAAACCATGGGGGCCAACAGTCAGAGCAGCCAGGCCGTAGCCCAGCACCCTCCTCAGCTCAGGATCCTGTGCCAGGGCAGCGCTCGCACGCCTGCGCCCCGACCCAAAATGTGCCTGTGCCACACGCGGGTGTTCAAGCCAGACGTGGGCTCCCTGAGCCCCGGATTGTCGGCATGAGAGAAGATGGGAGGCAGCAGTTAAGCACATGGCTAGTTTTGTGGCAGATGAAAGTTTTATCTGCACAGGGCCGATAAACAGTCCTGTTTCTAGGACAGCCATCTCTTCAGCAAGGCTGCTTTTAACTCTGTTTCCTGACAAATGGGCCATCGCAGCCTTGCTGCTACAGATCTCGCTGCTCTAATAGCTAGGAACGTCTTTACCAGGATGTTTTGCAGAGAGGCAGCACTCAAACCAGCAGGTGCTTCACTGCGATCCTGCAGCGAGGCTGAAGCGCGACTGCCTGGTGACCACTGGCTCCGCTGCAGGCATCGGTGCAGACACTGGGCTGTGCTCTGGGTCTGCAGAGACCGGCTACCCAAAGAAAGATTTTTAAAACCTGCATTTAGGAGACTCTGCTCCAAGACATGACTGAGGCTGAACAGGAATGCTGCCATTCTGCTACCAAATCTGTCGCTCAGTTTTCAAAAAAAAAAAAAAATGCTTCCAGCTGAGAAATCTTTAGAGTGAAAATGACACTTTTTCACTGGAACCACCAGGAATGGGCAGATTCTTTTTCCCACTTGGCAATTTGTGTGATGAACACAATGAAGCATGGTTTTAGCTTTGCCCTGCCATGTCCTTACTTCAACCACACAGCAAAGTAGACAACCTACCAACATCTGAGCAGGGGGGATCACTAGTTATGGGGGTTAGAAGAAATTTCTCCTTTATGTGTAGTATTTTGCTCCACAGACACATATATGGACACAAATGGTTAAGAAGCCTGAAAAACCTTCTTCCATTCAGGAGCTTCCATGCAGTAATAGCTAAGTGTCTTCCTCATCCAAGTCTTCAAGAGTTTACGCAGCCTACTTAACATTACAGTGGCAAAATATTAAGAGCACTCAAGGTACATGGCAGCACAAAAGGCCTTTCCAAAGCTGACACAATCAATAATGTATATACCCGCTTTCTTCAGCAAGCTTCTTTTAGCATATTCCCTTTGAACCCTGCATGCACTCCCTACTTAAAAATTGATCCACATCCAAGAGCCCATCTAAGGCTACGTTAATTACGTGCACATGCATGTAAAGGGTGGCTGCTTAGTAAGTGAAACCCTTTGTGTTTTTGCAGCATAGATGTTTTTCCTCTACTATTCTCCATGCGTATTTTGGCCAGCTAATATGGGTATCCTTTCTTCATCTCTAGTGGGCAATTGCTAGAGCGAGGACTTTTTCTCTCCAGGACTTTTTCTCTTGGTTGATTTGCTGAGTGACCCTCTCATCTTAAAACAGAAGTAAAAGCCAATCTCATCCTATTTACTCATGCTAGTTTTGCTGCCACTGCAATGTAAGCCTTTCATTAGCACAGGTAATTTTCACTGATTACCACCCACATGAAAATCACTGTGTAAAAATAAAGCTGTGCAATGTCTTCATGTTAACATGGCTTGCTCACTGGTAAGTGCTGCCTGCCAAACTAAGATAAATCATCATGAGGACAGCCAGCATTTAAAATGCTCTAATACAACCAGCTGCTTCTGTTTGGACCACAAGTCCATCCACCGCCATGTC